AACTACAAAAATAGTTGTGACGAGAATCCAATTTAGGTTGTTATGTTTCTGACCACTCCAATTTCTTATCATTATTTAATATTATTTACTATTCTAGTAATTAATTTTATCTCACAAATAATTAGTGAAATAGGTGATGTGTAAAAAAATTAATTAATAAAATAGACGAATAGTTAAAGGCTTACTGAATGTAAACAAAATTAAGTGAAAAAAATAGTCGGAGATAATGAAGATGAGAGAGAGGGAGAGTGATTCCATAAGTAGTTATAAAAATAAAATAATCTAAAAATTTGTATATAAAAAACAAACTATGGCCTATTCAATAGGAGTATGGGACTGCAAATCATTATCAAGTTTAAATTAGTTTTTTCTTTACATCAAGATTTAAATTAGTTATTCGTTAACCTGTGGACCAAATTTTTGGGTTTTAAAAAATAATAATTCAAAGTTAATTTAAGAAACTTGAAATTACAGTTACCTAAACTTAATCTTTTCCATAACTATTAATAAATATAATATGTTATTTTAATGTCCATATTCTTTGAAAAATTTTATTCCTTAAATAATATTTACAATCACTCCCCCATTTATAAATTTAATTACACACTTTTATTATTTATTTTAACATTAAAAAATATAAACACTTCATCTTTATGTCCTTACACAAATAAACAACATAAACTAAAAGAGGAAAAAAAAACTCAAAATATTAAGATAAAATATTTGACAATATAAAAATATAAAAATAAAGTTTATAAAATGAACCAAAAATAATTAAACTTAAAAAGAAATAGTAATAGATTGGAGACGAAATAGAGGAAGAATGAGGTGAAAGTGCAAAGAAAACAAAGGAAAGGAGGTTGATTATGTAAATATAAAGGTTGGTCCCTGGGCTGAATTGGGAGGAGGTGAGGAGAATTAGACCTTTCATTTCTGTTTTTTATGTCTGTTTGAGAAAATGATGACATGGGCAAAAGGGAACTAGACAGTGAACAGCACTTATCTCAACACCCTTTTATCCACCTTCTCTTCCCACACAGAAATCAACTACGGTTTCTACAATTTCTCCCATGGCCAAGACACAGACAAAGTATACGCCATTGGCCTCTGTAGAGGCGATCGTAAGCCTGACGAATGCCTCGACAATCCCAACTCACTCTCATCAACGACTGTCCCAACCAGAAAGAGGCCATTGCGTGGCTTCCAGACTGCATGTTGCGCTACGCCAACCGTCCAATATTTGGCGTCATGGAAAATAAACCTACGCGGGAAACCGTGTACACACTGAAAGTAAAAGGTCCCGTCCCGTGGATCAATTCAACGAAGCGCTCCAGAGCTTGATGACGAGTTTGACAAGCACCGCTTCATCTGGTGACTCTCGTCGTAAGTATGCTACAAGTACTACACCTGCACCTAGTTTTCAAACCATATTCGGTTATGCACAGTGCATGCCTGATTTGTCATCGGAAGATTGCACTTTGTGCTTGCGTGATGCTATATCAGAAATCCCGGAATGTTGCACTGGCATGGCTGGAGGCAACGTTTTAAAACCCAATTGTAGAATTAGATTTGATCCTTATCCCTTCTACGGACCTACCATCCCGCTACAATCACCCTCCACGTACCAACAACACTTCACAAGGTACTTGTAACTTGTTACGTTTTCCTCTTTCGGAGGTGTTGTTTTACTTATGTTGTCTTTCTATTCAACTCATGGAATTTTGAGTATTCATTAGTCTTAATCCATGAACCGAGGGTTATGATTTGTGCAGGAAAGAGCAACAGATCACCAACTATCATCGCCGTAGTAGTGCCAGTTGCTAGTGTTGTTTTGGTGCTCATTCTTTTCTCCATCTATCTAAGAGTGAGGAAGCCCAGAAAAAATATTGCAAGTTAGTCTATGGTTCTAAACATGGATTTGCTGTTATTTGTTGTAATAGAAAAAAATTAGCCTTACAATTTAAAGGGGCGGTTGCCTAAAATAAATCGCAAATCCACTCCCTCTGTTATTTAATTTTTTTGATGCATTCATTGATCCAATCTGAATAACTCACTAATTTAATTTACCTGGGTCCCATGCAGGTGCAGTTAAAGGAGAAGACGATAATCAGGAAGATGAAATTACATTTTCCGAGTCATTGCAATTCGACTTTGACACCATCCGAGTTGCTACAAATGAATTCGATGATTCTAATAAACTTGGACAAGGCGGGTTTGGAGCTGTTTACAAAGTAAGGTGACACTTTTCATTCAATAAATATATATCATCTCTTCATCAAAACATGTTATATTCAGATACAATAGTTGACTGTGATATGCTTCTAGGGTGAGCTTCCCAATGGACAAGAGATTGCTGTCAAAAGGTTGTCCAGGAATTCTGAGCAAGGAGATGTGGAATTTAAGAATGAAGTGCATTTAGTGGCCAAACTTCAGCACCGAAATTTAGTTAGACTACTTGGTTTCTGCTTGGAAGGAGCAGAAAGGCTACTTGTCTATGAAATTGTTCTTAATAAAAGTCTTGATCGCTTCATATTTGGTAATATTAAATATCTGCATAATTAGACTCTGACCACTAAAATTGCTTCAATATTCACATGGTTTTGGTGTCTAATAGATCCAATAAAGAAAGCACGATTAGATTGGCAAAAGCGCTATAAAATCATCCGAGGTATTGCTCGAGGTATACTCTATCTTCACGAGAATTCTCGATTGCAAATTATACATCGTGACCTTAAAACAAGTAATATTCTCTTGGATGAAAAGATGAATCTAAAGATATCATATTTTGGAATGGCAAAATTAGTATGACAGAAGTTAATACAAGTAAAATTTTTGTAACCTAGTAAGTATAAAAATATATCATAGATTAATAGAAGCTTAATTTCAATCAATTTTCAAGTAAATATAAAATATTTTACGTCACCATTAAAAGGTATGAATTTTATGACTAATTAAACTTGTCTTTGATGGACATACAGTGGATATATGGCACCAGAGTATGCATTATATGGCAAGTTTTCAGCAAAATAAGATGTTTTTAGTTTTGGTATACTAGTTCTTGAGATTGTAAGTGGTCAAAAAATAACCAGTGATGTTCGTCACGGGGAGAATGTGGAGCAACTATTTAGCTATGTAAGTTTTTCTTTTCTTCTTCTTTGTCATTATATATAATAGGATTAGAAAATGATTTCTTCACATCAGTAGAAATGGAATTTGTGTGTGAATTAACTAAAATTTGCAATTTATCAAATTCATGTAGGAATGGCGAAACTGGAGGGAAGGAAAAGCTGCAAATATTATAGATCCCACGTTAAATGACGGTTCGCAAAATGAAATAATGAGATGTATCCACATTGGGTTATTATGTATTCAAGAAAATGTGGCTGACAGACCAACCATGGCTTCTGTTGTACTCATGCTTAATAGTCATTCTCTGACTCTCCCGGTACCTTCAGAAGCTACATTTGTTGGAGATAGTATATCTGAAGCCTTTCAAACATGCAGTCACCAGATGATAATTCAAGGGAAGCAAGATCAAGTGAGCAGCAAATAAATCAACTCCAAATTCGGTAAATGAAGCATCAATTATCAACTATATCCTCGATAGATTTTGGTCATGAAGGTGGTAGTCATTTCTACTTTTTTTGGAGAAGGTGCATAGTCATTTGGTTATTCGAGTAGAAGGAAAAAAAAAATCAATTCCTTAACTAAAATACATCATCTTGGAACTCGCCTAATTTGTTGGTTTACGTCTTGTTTAAATAGACAATGTACGCAGATAAGTACTCAACGTTAAACAATACTTTTCTTTTATAATTTTTATGGTTTCCCTTTATTTCAATCTGATCTCACACTTTTCTTTGTTCTTTACTTATCTCACCTAAATATTCGCGAAAAAATATTATGGAAGTAAATTGACCTATATAAATTCTCCTTATCCAAACCGAGATAGAATGCGATGACACGGTTGGTTATTTTATTTCTACACTTGCTTAATTCTTGCTTGTTATTCGATGTTGATCAACTGTCTTATATATTATTTAGGAGTATTTTTCTCCTTAGAGTTATCTGGATTTTTAAAACACGTGTTATATATATCATATGTAATTATCAGTGTTGTTTGAAATATATATTATAATGTTTTTTAATTTAAAAATATTAATGTTTAAATCCATCAACTTAATTATCTAATCAGTCCAATTTTATCGGATTTGATTGAATTGAGTCGAAAAAATACAAACCTAATTTCAGTATTCGATTAGATTATATTGAATCTTAAATTCAATCAAATCTGACTTAAATCTAACCGGTATACACCCACTTTATATCTTCGTTTTCTTGCTCCTAGGTTTGTGTTTGGAAGACTAGCAGGTTGGAGTTGAAACTATTGATTTTTTTTCTTTCTATTTTAAGCAAAATAACTCATTGATGCTCTCAGATTTTTACGTTTTTAAAGTACTTTTTGGATTCACAGAATATAAATAAAGTCTTTCATTATAAAAATAAGAAGTGAAATAAGAATATATAAAATATACAGTAAAAAAAATCTTTTAAATAATGATGAAAAGTAAAATTACGAATTGTATGCAAATAACCTTCCTTATAAAGGTATCCCTCTCAAATACAAATAGCATATCTGGAGAGGAGTACGACAAGGGCATAGCACCGTATTAAAATTGTTTTTATTAAAATCAATTAATGAAGCCCCTCATTACACTACTGAATTAATTCTGCAGGTATTAATAAAAATTGATGGCTAATATCTTGATGTGCTTGGAGAATTCTACATCAAGATATACTTTCTTTCTATCACGATACAACAAGCATTTGTTTGGCTTGAGGGAGCCGAATTAAAATCAATAAGTAATGCTTCTTAATTAGTGTCACCACTCCACTATAGTAAAATTTAGCGAGGAACTAGCTCACTAATCGAAGCCTCATTAGTTGATGATGCTTGCATGGAGTTATCTCTTGACACATCTGATCTCGTATCTAATGGAACTCTGGCATTCATAGAATATGCAGGTTGTGAGGGTACTGGAAGACTGATAGAGTCGCCGTTGAACATGGTTACAACTGTTGCCATGGTTGGTCTGTTGGCTTCGTTTTCTTGAACACACAGTAATCCAATATGGATGCATCTCATTAATTCGTCTCTTGAATTGTTGTCCAGTGTTTGATCTACAATGTTTAATGCAGTCCCTTCCCTCCAGTTCCTCCATGCCTGCAAGAATTTGTACAATGTCATGGACTATTTTAAGGCCAAGAAGATTGTTATTTGCGACACAAATTGTAGTCTTACAAAGCTTATTAGATGTTCTACATAACCACTGTCCGGGTGGCGGATATCACTGTTTTTGTGTCCTGTCACTATCTCAAGAATCAATACACCGAAACTAAAAACATCTGATCTCACTGAAAAATATCCATGCATTGCATATTCTGGTGCCATATATCCACTGTAAATTAACATGTAAAACTCAATAAGATATAGATAACATACATTTTTTTTCGCCTTAAGCTTTTTGCCAAAGAAAACTAATAGAAAAGAAAAATATTTATTTTAGTAAATTATGTTTACTTACTAGGTTCCAACAACTCTAAGTGTATTTCCAAGAGTTTGATCTGTGGCAAACAATTTTGCCATGCCAAAATCTGATATTTTAGGATTCATTTCTTCATCTAAAAGTATGTTACTTGTTTTGAGATCGCGATGAATAATGCGTAGTCGAGAATCTTCATGAAGATAAACAAGACCTCGAGCAATACCTTGGATAATCTTGTAACGCCTGTCCCAATCCAAAGATAAACGCTTGATTGGATCTACATGCCAAAGGAAAGACTATTCTTTTAAATTTTGTTCAGAGCATCCCATTAGCAAATAAAAATGTAACAGACATACAGGGCAATCAAACAGAAAATGTGTTACCAAATATGAAGTAATCAAGGCTTTTATTGGGAAGAAACTCGTACACCAGTATCCTTTCTCCTGTTTCCAAACAAAACCCCAGTAGCCTTACTAAATTTCGGTGTTGAAGCTTTGCTAATAATAGCAGTTCATTTTTAAATTCTATATCTCCTTGGCCAGAACCCCTGGACAACCGTTTGATAGCAACTTCTTTGCCACTGGGAAGCGTACCCTGAAAATATTCAAGAGTTTTGGTATGTTTAATCCACGGCCAGCTACTTAATTAAGCAAACTGCGTTGTGACAAAGAGGTTATGTTTAGCTTATTGTAGATGTTATCCTACCTTGTAGACTGGTCCAAATCCACCTTGTCCAAGCTTATTTGCATCTGCAAAGTTATTTGTTGCATCTATGATGGCTTGGAAGTCAAATTGTAATGTCTGAGTAGGTTCAATGTCATAGTCAGCTTCAGATTCACCTGCGGAATGTGAGTTTAAGCAGGTTCTTTAAATGATATCCAAGATTGGGGCTGCAGCAAATCTACATTTTTTTTCTTCTTATGGTTGAGTTCCTCATCATTTGAGTTACAGATTTTATTTCATATGCACTATACAATTTTTATTTGCTTAATTGATAGTAATTAAGAAGAATTATATGATTGAAAAGAAAAAAAATCTGTCAAGACTTAAGACCAAACAATTATTGGTCTACGGTCATGATTTGTTTAATGAAGATTTCATCGTCACATCGTAGTCGACTTCATAATCGTTAGTTATAGGAAAAAAAATGAACTTACTTTCAAAATACATCCTTGGCTTCCTTCGTCTTAAATAGATGCACGTAAAGGTGACTAGTATCATAACGGAGACAATTGCCGCAATTATGGCTATGACAGTTCGCCACGAGTTGCTCTTACCTGCAAAAATCATATGCATATTGAGAATAATAATCATACGAAGGAGCCTTTTCGATATGTAGCCAAAATATAAGTAGCATGGAACATGTACCTTTTCTGAAAGTGGCATGGATGGATGGAGAAGGAGAAGGAAGTGATTGCGGTGTGAGTGAAGGTGGCACATAAGTAGGATCCAAGTATGGGGTGGTGTCAAATCTAAGATTACAACTGGGTTTAAAAATTCTGCCACGTACCTTGCCAGAGCAGCATTTTGGGATATATGACATTGCTCTAAACAAGCACTGGTTGCATTGTAAGTTTGATAAATCAGGTGTGCATTGAACATGAGCAAATACAGTTTGAAAGCTTGGACCTTTCTGACTTGCTTCAGCAAACTTAAGGTGGGAATCACCGGAAGCAGCTTTGCTCGCTAGACTTCTCAGCAGGTCCTCAACAACTTCATTATACCGATCCACGCTTGTTGCATATTTGTTGTTGGATATTAAATATGAAGGTTCAAATTCCATGATTCCAAATATTGAGCGGTTAGAGTATCGCAGCATGCACGAATCATACCACGCAATTGCCTCCTTCTGGTTTGGACAAAGGCGTGTGAGAAGGACTACTGAATCATTGAGGCAACTAGTGCAAGCTTCTGTATTGACATCTCCTCTACACATCCCAATGACGTTGACTTTGTCAGAGTTTTGGTTTTGGCCTTTGGAGAAATTGTAGAAGCCGTAGTTGGTGTTGGTTTCGGTGTTGGAAGTGAGTTTGGAGAGAAGGGTGTTGAGATTCGCCTGGAAGGTGCTATTAGCAGTGTAGTTGCCATTGTTGTCATCACAATAATATTTCACAAAGCTTGGCTGGGCTGTGGCTAGAGACATGATCATGAGAATGAGAATAACAAATAAGAGAAAGCTTTTGGAAACTGTGGGCATAGCAGCCATCCTGAAATTGTGAATGAAAGAGAAGATTGATGCCAACTTCCCATTTATTAATCGAACCAGAGTATTTTTTTAAAACCCATTTGCAACTTTAACTTTCAATTGACGTGGACTATTCCTGAACGCGGAAACTTTTGCATATACCCCACTTCTACACTGTTTTTGTTTCCATTGATAATGAACTGAGAAGAAGTGAAAGAGGATGGAAATAAGAAATTTTGGTGCTTTGGTTGGTGGAAGGAGAACAAATAATTTGCATGGGTTCTGCAGGAATTTTGTTTCCAATGAGGTGGGTCATGGCCACAATTAGGAATAGTAAAGTGAGGTATATACGTATTTCTATCCTACCAAAAATTGGCAAAGTAGGATATATAGGAGAAATTAATAAATAGTATTGGAATTCATAATTTGAAGTCATTTCTATATGATTATAATTAAGTATTTTTTAAAAAATTATAAATTAAAAAATTTAAAAAATTATGAGTTTAAGGTTTAGGGTTTAGGAATTAATTCAATTCCCTACGTTTCCTAAACCTGTAGGTAATTAAAAATTATTTTAATTACTTGAAGATTAGTGAAATTTATTAATCAAAGTTGCATTTTTTTAATTTTTATTTGCAAAAACTTCAGGTTCTAAAACTGGAGTGTAATTAGTTTATTAATTAGGAATTATGTTAAATAAATTTATAAAATATATTATATTAAATTTATAACTTATACTACTAGTTTACAATAATACAAATGTGGCTATATATACTCATTTCGCAACGTATGAAAGAGGTTACACAACAGGGTGAGAGAATATTGGTATATCAAAAAATTTCTATAGTCAAATATTTTAATAGAAGCCTACGAGTAATTTCACATATTTTTTTTAAAAAGGACAAATTTCTGTACACTTCTCTCAATCGTCGACCATTTACCAACTTGCTCATAGCAAGCACCTAGTTTTTTCTCCGACCTTAACCTTACATTTGGAAAAAAGATGGGCAGACACTGATTTCCAGGTAATATATACGCAAGAGGGAATATATATATATATATATATATATATATATATATATATAGGACAAGGTGGTTCCAATCAGCGTTGATTTACGATTTTAAACGATCAAACTTTCAAAAGTTCATATATCCACTTGCACTTGTGGAAACATGGTAATGGACCCAAGAAGGCTGCGGGTAAGCTGTTGGTCAAACTCGGTTCACGTGATAAATAATTGATAACACAGAGGTGCTTTTGGTACGATTTTGATGAATTTTTTATTTTAAAGTAATTTGGATTAAGAAAAATTCTGGCACGAAGCATCTTATTAGATGGTTCATGGATGAAATAACAAAATAAAGAAGCTTTAAATGATTTATATGGTACAAGTAGTTATATATAAAATATTAAATTTAATGATTGAGATTGTTTCTCACCAATTTATATTTTTGCCCTTAAATAAAAAACGAAAAATGTTTTATGAAATTTGTTCGATAGGTTTTTGACCTTTGTAAGTGGGATTCATTTTCTCCCCCTTTTCTTCTCCCTCCTCCCTCTCTTCCCCATTTTTTTTCCCCTTTCTTTCTCAATTCTACTCTCAATCGCATCTCACCACCATCCCTTTGGAAGAAGAGTACAACAAAAGAAAATAATTTTCTTCATGTTCGCATTGATCACATGTGAAGAAAAATCCTTTGACAAGTTCCGATTGCAAACCAAGATGTCCCCCCTATGAGTGATTTAGCAAAAAGCAAAATTATCACAAAGTTTTAACTAAAAATATTTGATATCATCATACCCAAATTCTCACAACAGGTTCAACTCTAGATTTATTGCTTTCAAGTTATCAAAAATTCAACTTGGTCTATCTAAGAGGAAGAAAATAATCATCATCTTGCAAAAAAGAAAAGAATAAGTAAATCAAAACCAATTGAAAAAATGGTAAAGAAAAGGAAAGAAAATAATCTTCGTTGGCATTTTCTTTTTCTCTCCTTCTCCCCTTACCCTTGTACAGTTGTACTCCCTCAATCTCACCGGCCGGGGTTGAGCATCGACAACACTGAGACGGTGTTGTTCTCGGTGGCACACTGTTACATCAAGAGAAAGTGAAAGAATGAGTTTTTTTATACATTTCAATCTCAATGTTTGATTAAAAATATGAATTAAAACATATTATTTTTATATTATTTATTTGTTAAAATATTATTTCTATAGTAAAATTAGTAGGAAAAAAAAAGTATACTACTGTTGAGGCATTTGAGGTAGTGTTTCACCTTAGAAACCTTCTTGAATTAAAGAAATTAAGTACAATTCAAATTTAAATTTATTGTAAAATTTCAAATTGTTTGATTTGATTCAATTTTTACAGTTATAAAAAATTGTTACTTAAGAATAAATTTAAAATATATAATATTATGATATCAAATTAAATATATTTTTAATTTCTTTAAAATAAATAAATTTTTATTTTAGCCAACAAATTTATTTAAAAAATTTATTTTAATTTATTTAATTATTTAAAAATAATTAAATACCATCAGATTTTGATGGAACTCATACAAAAATCTTAATTGTCTTAATTGAATATCTCTAGATTTTGATGGATTCTATAAAAAAAATCTCAATTGTCTTTATTAAATATCACAAGACTTTTTTATATATAAAAAAAAAACTTGATTAAATACCACAAAATCTTTTTACAATAAAAAAATTCTTTAAATTTCATTTAAATCTTAATCCAATGCACCCCATAATGTGGACACCAACGGTTGTAGAATCATCTTAATGAGTTTATTTTAATTTAGATTATTTTCATTTAATTAAAAATAAATTATTCATACGAATGAGAATAATGGCTGTTTTAAACAGCCATAGTTGGGTTTTTTAATAATTAAAAATAAATTATACATATATAGTGTGATAAATAAAATTAAGCTTCAATTTATGATTTATAGTTTTGAATTTAAGATCATTTTGAGGAATTAATATGTTATCAATTAGAACAATATCCTTTTTCAAGAATATTCTGTAATGATATTCTTATAAAAAAAATGAAGTATCAAAATTTAAAAATTATTCTTTAAATACATGTTTGAATGGTAATGAATTTAAAAAATAATGTTTATATATTTCTATAATTTGTTTATCAAACACGAATGATTATCTTACTTAAGAGTATTTTTAGTTGTTTGTCTTTAACAAGAAAGTTTTTAAGAATTATTGTAACTTTTTATATAATTCAAATTTTATTTATTATAATTATTTATAAAATAAATTTAATATTTTAAAATAAATTATCTATAAATAAAAATAATTTTATGTTAGAATATAAATTATTTATCATAAATTTAAAATATAATTTACATATTTAAACATATTATATTATATATATATAATTTATTATAAATTTTAGTTGTGTATCATATAATAAACATTTAATATATATGTGCAATACTAGTTGAATAAAAAAAATGAATAAACTAAAATTTGAACAACCAACCAAATAAAATGTTCTCTTAAATAAATATTTAAATTATAATGGAATTTAAAAAATGGTTGAATTTATTAATGAAGAAGCAAACAAATAGACTAAACATGAAATACCAATGATGTGGATCAATCGATAAGGAGTTGTTTCACCTTGACGGGTGGTTTCAAATTCTAATCCTAAATATGTAACTATATCAAATACTCAAAATGACAACTTTGTCGTTCATAATAATTTTATTTAACTCAAACATGATTATATCCAATAAAAAGTACCTCTGGTATGGACCAAAAGAGTAAACATAAAAATTATGTTTTATAATTTTAGAAATTATTACTAGAAGAACAAAATTTGAAACTTACTAATTCATTAACAACTCAATAACATATTTTTATTAATTTGAATTGACTAATTGAATTATTCAATCTAAAATTTAAAACTTTGTCGGTCTTTAAAGGCACATTCCCAACAGAAACAGACATAAGAGATTGGATAAGGGAAATTAGTAAATGAATCATTCCAAGGAAATGGTGTTGAACAATTCTTCTTAATAATAGCAGGCACCAAGCATCTGTTTCTCTTGGTACATTTAATTGTAGTTATGATTATCAGCTTTGACTATAACCATATGATTGATATCTAACGAGGATATAGGCTACTAATTGAAGCCTCATTTGCTGATGCATCAGCAGAGACACTTTTCTGCTCATTTGATCCTGCTTCCACAGAACTGCACCTCGAAAACTGGACGACTGATAAACAACTATTGTTCATAAAATAGGCAGGTTTCAATGGAACTGGTAGAGCAACAGAGTGTCTATCAAGCATAAGCACCACTGAAGCCATTGTTGGTCTATCAGAAACCTTTTCTTGAACACAAAGTAACCCAATGTGAATGCATCTAACTATTTCATCTCTCAATGCATTATTCAAGGTGGGATCTATTATATTAGCTGCTGTCCCTTTCTTCCAGTTTTTCCAAGCCTGTAAGTAGTTCATCTTTGAAAACATTAGTTCCGGTTCTTCACTTCTATTATAAATCATATAAAGACAAAGAAGATGCAGAAGGTATACATACAAAGCTTAACAGATGTTCCACATTCTCTCCATTCTGAAATCCGCCATTCTTTAGGCCACTTACAATCTCTAGTATTATTACACCAAAACTGAAGACATCTAACTTCGTGGAGAGTTTTCCATGTCTTGCATACTCAGGAGCCATGTATCCACTTCATTTCAATAAGGATATACTCAATAATTTGATACAATCATTACCTGTTTTCAATTAGCTAGAAACAAAATACACCTATGATATTTGATACTTACTATGTTCCTGCAATTGTACTTGTATTAATCTGAGTTTGATCTAAGACAAATAGCCTTGCCAAGCCAAAATCTGAAATCTTAGGATTCATATTGACATCTAAAAGAATATTACTCAACTTGAGATCACGGTGAATAATCCTCTGCTGAGAATCCTCATGAAGATAAACAAGGCCACGTGCAATTCCTTCAATTATTTTGTAGCGTTTTTTCCAATTCAAATGTGCACGCTGGATGGGATCTATTTGCCAACATGAGTGCAATCATTTAATGTTTTGAACAAGAGTCAAAACCATTCTTCATTTTGTCATTCAAATGAAATAATGAGATAGACTTCCAGTTTGAGAATAAGCTAACTTACCATATATGAATTTGTCAAGACTTTTATTGGGAAGAAACTCATAGACAAGAAGTCGTTCTTCTCTTTCAAAACAGAAACCAAGGAGCCTAACTAAATTTCTGTGCTGTAGCTTTGACATTAATAGCACTTCATTCTTGAATTCATTATCTCCTTGGCTGGAGTTGTTAGATAACCTTTTGACTGCTACTTCTTGTTCGTTGAAGAGAGTGCCCTGAATATGTCATGGTATCCGTGTTTTATACATATAAAATTGGCCAACAAACTGCCCGTGCTGCATTGATATACAGTTAAATTTAATTGTAATAATGCAATGTTTACCTTGTAAACAGGTCCAAATCCACCTTGTCCAAGTTTGTTTGCATCAGAGAAGTTGTTTGTAGCGTCTACGATTGTATCAAAGTCAAATTGTGATGACTCTGCTTGTCCAATTTCTTCATCAACCTTAGCTTCACCTAGATGTGGGAGGTAAAATTATGTTTTAACAGGCGACTCTGTCAAATGGAAATTGATGGTGAAGCTTGGAAAAGTAAATGTTTCCAAAACAATTCTTCAATTTGAGATCAAGTGGAACATGTAAACAATTCATTTATGCAAAATAGTTATATCTTCTTTCTGGTTTTTGTTCTTAAGTGCAGGTAAAATTATTCAAGAAAATTTTCCATTCATATCCCATGTCAATGTCGAGGGAAAAATAATAAATAAACTATTTGATTCTTCTTTTTTTTTTTTTTTTTTTTTTTTTTTTTTATTTTTTTTTTTTTTTTTTTTTTTATCTTTCTGTAATTACCCTAAACATCAAACATTAAATAAACATCCGGACTTACTCTCAAAATGTTTTGTTGATTTCCTCACTTTTAAATAGATGCAAATAAAGATCAGCAACCCAACAAAGACAACTATAGGCACAACTTTGGTGACGACAGCTTGCGATTTGTTGCTTTTTCCTGCATGAACCCAACATCTCTTCTTATTAATTTAATACTCGTCTGGAAGACATCACAATTTAGTTACGAAACTAGATAATAATAATAATAAATATAAATATGTGCGCGCATGTGATATTTTGAAAGTATGAATACCATGATAAGTACTCTCCGTGGAGTTTGCAGTGGTGGATGGTACAGAAGAAGGAGAAGGAGAAGGAGATCCTTGTGGCGACAATTGCAGTGTTAGTGTATCAGGCGTAGATTCATAGAAGCTGAAGTTCTCGTATCTGAACTTACAGCTTGCTTTAATAATTCCACAACCTGATCTGTTATTACAATATTTTGGTACTTCTGAAAAGGCGCCATTTAAGCAATCGTTGCATTCTGCCACTGTCAAATCAGGGTCGCACTGAACATTAGCATATATAGTTAGAGAATTGGGAGCTGTTGCATTTCCCGAAGCATATTTAGGATTCAGATTGGAGTCGGTTGTTGCAGCTTTCACTCTTAGTGTTGCCAGCAACATCTTGAACACATACCTGTACTGATCCCAATCTGTTACATTAGTTTCAGTCCACCAGTATACCCGTAAACTAGATTCTTGGTAACCAAATAATGAGTAATATGCATAGTGCAACATGCATATATCATAATATCCTGCCACTGCCTCCTTCTGATGTGGACACTGCTCTAGCAGAAGCAAAGTAGAATTGGTGAGGCAAGCACGGCAAGTATGTGGGGTAATATCCCCTCTGCAAAGGCCAGTTGCGTAGACTCTGTCAGAATCTTGGCCGTAGGAGGCATTGTAGAAGCCGTAGTCAATTTGTGTGTTGGAGGTGAGCCTGGAAAGAACGGTTTTGAGGTTGGTGTGGTAGGTGCTATTAGGGGCATAGTCTCCGGTTATGTAGCAGACTGCGTATTGGTTCTCTGGTTCGGCAGTAGCTTCAGATATCAGAATAAAGGAGACAAAGAGTAAAGCCCACATTTTAGCTTTCTCATGTTCCAATCTGTTTTCCACATCAAAACTTCATACTTCATATCAGAGGATGAATTTTAAGGCAGGAAAAGTGTGAAGGCTGAAGAATCATTTCAACTGGATTCAGTGACACTATATATTATAACCATTCACGACTAAAGAAAAGAAAATTAAGTCACCACAAGTCGTTGACACTATATAACAATTTGTTTAAATATACAAAAATATTTTTTAATGATATAAGTTAGAATTAAAAATATTATATTTATTTTAATAATTTGCTAATAAATAAAAATTTTCATAAATTTAATATTAAAAATACAAAGTTGAATATCTATGTCATATTAATATAAAAATAGTTTCAAAACCCATTAAACACATACCATAGAAATTCTGATTTTATATTTCTTTTTTGGCTGGAATATGCGATTAGTGAATCAACTCTAAATATGTGGTATACGTATGAATAAGTCCATCCCCCAGTCCTCACGTCTTAGGATTTAGGAAGATGTCAAAGTTTCATGGTCACGGACACATCGGTGGAACCTACTAGAAATTCAAATACACAAATACGTACCCTCATATTTTTGCTATGAAAGAAAATTAATTATTCATGTTAAGATAATAAAATGATAAAAAAAATTTACTAACATTAATTTATCATGTGATTATTGTAATTACATTTATATTTTTTATTTTTGAAAAATCATTCATGTGTTTTACTTTACTCTTTTTTATTTATAAAATTTAATTAAAATACACTTACACTGTATCATTTTATTAAAGATTGTTATTTTTTAAAACACTTATTTTAAAATCACATCTTTTATTATTTATAACTGTAAAAAGTTAATTTTTACAATGTATCAAAATTATACTCTTTATAAGTCAAAAGCACAATAGCTTTAAAAATAATAAGGTAATAAATTGAGTTATAATCTTCTAATTAAAAATATTGTTAGTGTAATTTATTCTAATTGCATACGAGATTAATATTATTATCTCATAATAAAATACATACATTCTACACTTTTATTAATTTATTTATCCGAACAAATATCTTGTAAGAATATGTTGACAGAGTTTAACTTGTAATTAAATATCTTTTTTAATAATTAGGAGTTACTCCATAACTAAATTTTCCCAATATGTTGAAAAATTGAGATAAAATAGTTGATATATTGATAATGTAAAATATGTTTACACACTATTAATAAATAAGAAATTGTCATGTACAGTGATGTTTGTTGACTTATATATAACTATCTTAAAATGATTTGTAATTAGTTAAGGTTAAGAATAAAGTATATATTGTCAAAGTTTAACGATTAATTTTTATTTCAATTCTTCCACATCATATTCTTCTTTTCAATCGGTTTAGTGATGAAAATTTTAGATAATATACATAAAGTTTTATATTTAAATTTTATTATCAATTTTTTAATTTTTTCACTAATTAAAAAATATTCTTCTTTCAAACATTATTTTAATTTTTCCAAAAAATATGATATCAATCACAATAATTTTTTTTTTGAAGAGACCACAACAATTAATTATATAAGGTTGTGTTTTGTAAAATTAACTTATAAGTGGATTGAAAACTTATAAATTAACTCAACCTTATAAATTAAACAATAAAATTAAAATATTTGATAAAAACTAATTGATAAAATAGATAATTAATTATTACCAAAAAATACAACATTATCAAAAAAGATTGAATGATTAATATAAAATGACACGTTTATTTATTGAAATAAAGTGAGAGAATAAGATATATGCAAAACAGTTTCTAAATTAAAAAAGAGTTAAAAATTTCAAGTAAATTAATGGAAAGAGAAAAAAAATTTAAGAACTTATAAATTATAATAATTTCAATTAGCTTACATAAATAACAATAATATAAATTTATGAAATAAGTTAAGTATCCAACAAATTTATTTTGGTAAACTGATTTATAACCTGGATAAAGAAGGTTATAAATTTCACAAATGCTCTATCATAGAAAATCAAAATACGTTTTTTTTTAATGTAGTATAAGGTGTATGAATTCTCACACATAATTGTAAAACTTTTCTTAAAAAACACAATTTTAATAAAATATTTTTTTTTACCTTTTTAGTTTGTTTATCTAAACTGTTTTTTTAATAAAATAAATATATTTTTTAAGAAACAATTCATACCTTCTTTTCAAAAAATTACTTTTTAATAAAACATTTTTTTTAGAAACACTAGCTATTGCTGCATTGTATTATTGTTGACACTACTACTTATACTATTGTCGATAATATTTTATAGAGATTACTATCATTTCAATAATGGAAAAAATATTTTAATATAGAAAAAAATGACAAAAATTAATTTATTTAAGTCAATAAGCAAAAACATTTTTAAAATATTAAGATCACATAAAAAGAGTAATTATCACTCTAGATGGTAATATTATGTTAGTTCTTTTAATAGGTTTTGTACTACAATTAAACTATAGTGCGTTAGATTTATTTTTTATAGTCTCCTCCCAATGATTGTTTAACTTATTCTCATGTATTGAGAAAATGGAATATCAGTTTAACGGATATCTAAATATACACTTAATATTTGACTTTTATCCTAAGAAACAAAAAATAGATGATAATATTATCAAGCTCAATAATTAATTTTTTTTATGCGACTTAAAGATTAAAAATAGTATTGAAACTTAAATGATCCTATTTAAAAGAATAACTAATATCATTACCTCTATCATGTCATGCACAATTAATTATATTGTGCAAACTATGAAAAGTTGTAGGCTACAATGAATTATTGAATAAATTACTTCAATAAATTATAATATATGGTAAACTAAATTTTTCAATCATAACATAGATAAAAAGAAATTAAAATTTAGTATTATTAACTTAATAAAAACAAGTACAATATTCTCTTTAAAAATATTGTTTCCAATGAATCATTTATAATAAACTAAAAATTAATAAATTTTCGTTTATTAATTATAAAAAAAAAATCATTTTTTTTCATTCAATAAACTTGTGGGCATCTAGTTAATTTGATACCACAATTTTGTCCCAACCGCCAAAGCAAAAATGAAACCAATGTTCATCTTTTAAGAGATTGCTCTGCCACTGTAGTTATTATTTTGACAAATACTCCAACAGGCAAGAACAGCCTACAAGTAACTGTCCAGCATTTTTTTCTACTAGTGGACGGTGGTGGCTCTATGCTTCATGTTAATATTATGCAGCATGCAAAGATCATTTCGTTAAGCTGTCAAATACTTTCAGTCTTGACTGAAATCTTGCCATTGCTATGCATGTTCATTGACTAGTTCATTCTTAAAAAATTTAGATAATAAAACCGAACCTTAGTATATTGGGCCACTTGAGCCCAAAAGCAGAGTCCCATGTTTGATGTCCCAACAAAACTGTCCTACTCATTCCAATATCCAAGAAAAGAAAGTTTCTTTCTGCCTTGTGCATAGAGTAATAGGATTAGGAGTACTGTCGCAGCCCAAATTTGCAAGAGGCTGTTTCTGTAATTCGAACCACTTCCATGATGTGAAATTCCTCAATCACAACAGAAACATACATAAGAGATTGGATAATCTTTTCAAGAAAATGTTGAACAATTCTTCTTAGTAACAGCAGGCACCGAGCATCAGTTTCTGTCGGTACATCTAATTGTTAGTTATGATGGTCATTATCAGCTTTGACTGTAATCATATGATTGATATCTAACGAGGATATAGACTACTAATTGAAGCCTCATTTGCTGATGCATCAGCAGAGTCACTTTTCTGTTCTTTTGATCTTGTTTCCACTGAACTGCACCCCGAAAACTTGATGTCTGATAAAGATCTATTATTCATAAAATAGGCTGGTTGCCATGGAATTGGGACAGCAAAAGAGTGGCTATCAAACATAAGCACAACTGAAGCCATTGTTGGTCTATCAGCAACCTTTTCTTGAACACAAAGTAGCCCAATGTGAATGCATCTAACTATTTCATCTCTGAAAGCATTATTCAAGGTGGGATCTATTATATTAGCTGCTGTCCCTTTCCTCCAGTTTTTCCAAGCCTGCAAGTCCAAGAAATGGTTCATCTTAGAACATGTTAGTTTTCTCACTTCTACCATTTCAAGTGGATTAGTTAATGCCTAATAAAGACAAGGAAGATAAAGAAGGTGACATACAAAGCTTAATAGATGTTCCACATTCTCTCCATTTCGAAATCCATTATTTTTTTGGCCACTTACGATCTCTAGTATTATTACACCAAAACTGAAGACATCTAACTTCGTCGAGAGTTTTCCATGCCTCGCATACTCAGGTGCCATGTATCCGCTGCATGTCAATAAGGAAAGGCTCAATTAGATACAAGCATTACCAAACCATGTTCCCCGTCTGTTTTAGTTAAGGATACAGATTATAAACTAAACAGCCCTATAATATTTTGAAACTTACTAGGTTCCAGCAATTTTACTTGCTTTAATCTGAGTTTCATCTGCAACAAACAGTCTTGCCAAACCAAAATCTGAAATCTTAGGATTCATGTCGGCATCTAAAAGAATATTACTTGATTTAAGATCACGGTGAACAATCCTCGGCTGAGAATCCTCATGAAGATAAAGAAGGCCATGTGCAATGCCTTCAATTATTTTGTAGCGCTTTTTCCAATCCAAATGTGCGCGCTTCATGGGATCTATACATGCCAACATGAGTAGGATCATTTAATGTTTTAAACCACAGTCAAAACCTTTCTTCATTTAGTCATGTAGAAGAAACAATACAATTAGAAGAAGCTAACTTACCAAATAAAAAGTTGTCAAGGCTTTTATTGGGAAGAAACTCATAGACAAGGAGACGTTCTTCTCTTTCAATACAGAAACCAAGGAGCCTAACTAAATTTCGGTGCTGAAGCCTTGACATTAATAGCACTTCATTCTTGAATTCAATATCTCCTTGGCCAGAGTAGCTAGATAACCTTTTGATTGCTACCTCTTGTTTATTGAAGAGCATCCCCTGAAGATGTCATAGTAACAGTGTTCTATGCATGTAAAATTGACCAACAATCTGGCCGTACCTCGTTTTGATATATACATAAATTTAATTGTGATAATGTAATGTTTACCTTGTAAACAGGTCCAAATCCACCTCGTCCAAGCTTGTTTGCAACTGAGAAATTGTTTGTAGCAACTATAATGGTGTCAAAGTCAAATTGTGATGACTCTACTTCTTTAATTTCATCATCAACCTTAGCTTCACCTAGACGGGGGAATAGTTTTACCAGGCGATTTTGTCAAATAAGAACAATTCTTCAATTTGAGATCAAGTAGAACATGTAAGCAATTTATTACGTGAAAATAATTATATTCCCTATTTGGTTTTTGTTCTTATCTAACTGTTAGCAAAATTATTTAAGAAAGTTTTTCCATTCTATGACATAATGTCAATTTTGAGAGAAAAAAACATAACTATTTGATTCTTCATATTTATTAGGTTTCACAACCAAAGAAAGAAATCATAGGAGAAGATATTAATTGACACTCATACCAAACATTAAATAAACATATGAACTTACTCTTAAAATGTTTCGTTCGCTTCCTCACTCTTAAATAGATACAAATAAAAATCAGCAAGCCAGCAAAGACAACAATAGGCACAACGTATTTGGCAATGACAGCTTTTGATTTGTTGCTTTTTCCTGCATAAACACACCATCTCTTCCTATTAATACAATCCTCATCTGGAAGATATCTCAATTTAGTCATGAAACTGAATTAAGAAACTAGGAAATCAAGATACCACAAAGCTTCTGAAATTTGAAATTTTAAGTATAATATACATTTAGGTACATAGTTAAAATCTTTTCTTTTTTCTTTTTTGATTTTCCTTATTGAAATAATAATAATAACAAAAAAAAAAAATCCTCCCCAACATGTGTGTGTGTGTGTTTGACTTTGCTTATGATGTTTCAAATAAATGTTGCTTGATGCAGGGTTGAGCTTGAGGATCAATATATTGTACTTCGAACCATGTTGTAATAATACCATGATAAGTACTCTCTGAGGAATTTGCAGTGGTTGATGGTGCAGGGGAAGGAGGAGAAGCTCCTTGTGGCGACAATTGTAGTGTTAATGTATCAGGCGTCGGCTTATAAAAGCTGTAGTTCTCATATCTGAAGTTACAGCTAAACTTAATAACCATCCCACCTGACATGTTATCACAACAATTTGGTATTTCTGAAAAGGCTCCATCTAAGCAATCGTTGCATTGTGCCACTGTCAAATCCGGGTCGCACTGAACATTAGCATATATAGTTTTAGAATTCGGACCTGTCGCATTTCCAGAAGCATATTTACGATTCAGATTGGGGTCAGCTGTAGAAGCTTTCACTCTTAGTCTTGACAGCAACTTGTTGAGCACATAACTGTACTTATTCCAATCTGCTACATTATTTTTACTCTGCAAGTAGACCCGGAAATCAGAATCATAGTAACCTAAGACTGAGCGATTTGAATAGTGTAACATGCATTCATCATATCCTCCTGCTACACGCTTCTGATGTGGACACTGCTTTAGGAGAAGGGAAGTAGAATTGTTGAGGCAAGTAAGGCAAGCATGTGGGGTAACATCTCCTCTGCAAATACCACTCGCGTAGACTCTATCAGAGTCTTGGCCATAGGTGGCATTGTAGAAGCCATAGTCTATCTGTGTGTTGGAAGTGAGCCTTGAGAGAACGGTTTTGAGGTTGGTGTGGTAGGTGCTATTAGGGGCATAATCTTCACCTTCTGTGATGCAGACAGCGTATTGGTATTGTGGCTTGGCAATAGCCTGAGATATCAGAGTAACAAGGAGACAAAGAAAAGAAAGAACTCTTCGAGAGACCATGGTATACGGTGTTGTAATGTTGTATTGTATGTGTTTTCACTTTTCAACAAAGTATGAGTGAGGTTTCCGCTCATACTATTAACTACGTGTCGTAATGTTATATGCTTGTTTTGTTAATTTAGTTTCGAGGTTTGTTGATGCTTCTTGCAGCTGACAAATCTGTTTTTGTTTGACCCGCAATTCACGATTAGTTGTTCACTTGACCACGGATGCACCCAAGATTTGTATAATTCATCACATTCTGAGTTTTCTTAATTAGGTAATAGCCAATTAACGGTTAAGATTTGACTTAATTTCGACTACAAAAGTTGACCGGAGAGGATTGCTTTGCTTTAGCACGGTGTAGGCCAAACACTAGACATCTCGAAGCTTTGGGCATGAAATTCAAACACTATAACACCTACCCGCTAGAAATATATCTACCCCAATGTCACATCCTCCTAATATAATGAAATAAAATATAGAATAATATATACACTTTTTTTTTGTCGCAGTGTATATACATTTATTCACTGTCGAGACATTTTCCCTTTTCAATTTTTTTTTTCTAAACAAATAAAACATAGAGATTATATCATAATTTGGACTTGTAATCTGTAAATATCATTTCTAAAAGCAGAGGTTTTTTTTTATTAACTTTTTCTAGACATAAACCAACAAAATTGTTAGTCTGTCAGATACTTGTACTTGAGTAGTTTAAATGTGTTAATTAAATTTAAGATTTATTTATAGCTATAATAAAAGAGATTCGACATATTGGTTTACATAACTTTTTTTGTCTAATTTTATTTTTATAATTATTCTTTAATAAATTAAAATTTTTAAAATTTCATTCCATAACAATTTCTATTTATAATAATCACCCACTATTATATCATTTATTTATTTTTTAAAAAAATAATCTACAAAGACACATAATACCTTTTGTACCCTAATGATTAACAGTAGATATTAATCATTTTCAAAGTATATAAAGAAAGGATCTTTCGTTCACAAAATAAGTTAGGCCAATTGTTCATATATATATATATATATCAGTAGGGAATGACATGAAATACCTTCTACCAAAATATTATTGCCGTAATTAATACTATCTGTGTATGCACAACTTATCGTTACACCCAAAATAATTTTTAAAGCGATTTTTTTAATTAATAATAATATTTTCGATAAAAAAAAATAAAAAATAATTTAGAGATGAGTCTTCAAAAAAAAAATATATGTATATCGTTTAGAGAGAGTTTTTAAAAATACAAAAGTGACTTTTGAGTTATGGATCTTAAAATAATTATATAAATATTAATATAAAATATTTATAATAAAAAAATACTTAAGGTAAAGACTTTGTTAATCCCAATCCTAAATACAATCTATAAAAATATATTTATGAACATGATTAATTTTTATTTATGGAGATGGTGTTCTCATGTTTGATTTTTTTTTTTCTTACATTGAATGGTGGATATAATTTTTTTCAAGTTATAGAAATGAATATGATATTTTAACTTCCTTGTTACTATATATCATTTTTATTATAGGACTCAAATAACTAATTTACAATTAATAATCAAGAATCATGAAGAGAGTTTAGTATTGTTGGTTGAAAAGACTGTATGAGTATTGCAAATCATCTTGATACTATGTCTAATTTTTGTGGATAAAAAGATCAATGTTTATAAATTATATTTAATTAGTAAAATAAGAAAATATCACCTTAAATTAATTTCTTATGATCACTATAGTTTAAAATAAGAATCAAGATAAAGATAAAGAGTTGATTGTTAATTTAGGTTAAAACAAGTCATGGAAGGCAAATATAAGGATTAATATAAAGTTTTAATATAATATCCATTTTAAAAGGGATTATTATTAATAAATGTCATTTTAACTATTATAAAATCTATAATAATATATAGAGGGATACATTTTTGGATTTTGTTGTCCTTTCCTATGTGAAAAATAGGTTTAAATGTGTAAGTCCATTATGATTTACTTAAGTAAGTGGAGAAGACTCAAATTAGGTTATAACAACCATTCTTTTTATGTTCTTATAGGTTATAACATCATGAACTTTAAAATTTTAAATATTAAAAGCTTTATTTTTAAATCATTTGTTATATTTTTTTTTCATTATATTATTTTTATTTTTTTATAAATAGTCGCTATTGGACAAATTTTTTAAAAACAAATTTATCTATTTTATAAAATATGTTATACGTATAAAAATTAAAGTGATATTTTAAAAATGTAGGCATATTTTTTCAATTTTTTTTATATTTTATTTACTTTTTAAAATAAGTTATCTTTATTTATAATTTTTTAAAATAGATGAAAATTTTAGTTTTAATAAATCTGTTATAAATTTATTAAAAAAATAAAAAGATCGCTAGTGATCCGATTTTTTTAATAATCGCTAGATGCCATGGATATATTTTTAAAAATTAAAATGATATTTTTTTAAAAAACTTAAGATATATTTTTGAAAATTTTTTTTATATATTTTAATTAAGTTATCTTTATTCGTTATATTTATTTTTAAATAAATTACAAATTTAATTGTCTATTTTTAAATAAATGTAATATAAATTAATTAGAAAAAATAAAAAACACGTGGCTAGTGGCTATAGCTCATGTCGATTTGATTGTCATTGGCTCAGATAATTCGTAAGTGAAGAGTGTGGGAAAGAAGGCGTTGCAGTGGAGAAAAACACTGATGACCCTTTCCAAGATTTCATGTCAGAAAGAAGGCGTGCCCATGAAGAAAGACTATGATGATTGAAGGGAAAAAAAAAAGTTCTATAAGTCTAAGCGAACCCAACAAAAAAATATTAAAAAAGGGGTTATTGAACCACAAAAAAAAAATAAAAATAGAGAGAGTAACTGTAAATCACAACAACAAAAATAAAATAAGAGAAATTCTACTGTATCTTTAAAAATTTAGAAACTGTTTTTATTTTTTTTAAATGTGAATATTTAGTGTTTTAGAATAGTTTGATTATATTTATTTTTTATTTAAATATATGTTTCCTTAAAATTCTTTATATATATAATATAAAATATTTGAATTTATTAAGGATTTTTTTTATATATTATGAATCATGGTAGATTGAGATTTTTCGTATTTGTAATAAATTTTGAGAAATAAATTGAATAAAAGATTTACAAAATTTTCTCTATTTCAACAAATAAAATTTTATTGTATTTTTTAAAATTATTTTAATTTTTATAAAATGATTTGAAAAATTTAGTGATGTGAATTCAGCTGGGTAAAAAAATTGAAGATTGACAAGTCCAAAGTCATATAATAAAAAAAGAATTAATGGGCTGGAATTTAAGTAGTTTGCGACTGAATAATTAAATAAGTCAATTATCTTATTTTTTTAATTTTTGTTTTATTAACTTTATTAAATAAGTCAGATGACTTTCCAAGTTATTTAGACTACCATTTAGTGTTTTAGGCTTCTTAGTAGAATTTAATGAGTTAGTGGGCTAATGATGAGTCAATTTACTGGATATTAAGTGTTAGTAGGAAATTAGTGAGAATTTATGTCATCTTGCTTATCTAAGCTTATAAATAGGAACCTTTTGTAAAAATGTTTCAAAGAGAATGAATTATTCAGAATTTACATATTTTTCCAATTGAGAGGATTTTCTCTTTCTAGATTCTTAGGAAGATTCTTATCCTTGAATTTCCTAATTCAAAGTGACGAATCTTCCACAACTTATCAATTTTTAAGGATTGTGGCGTTGTCCTTTCATTTCTTACCTCAATCCAAATTAATTATTCAGTCAAAAACTACTTAAATTTCAGCCCATTAATCCTTTTTTTATTATATGACTTTGTACTTGTCAATCTTCATTTTTTTTACCTGGCTGGATTCACATCACTTAGACAAGTATTTAGTGAGAGAATAAAGAGTAAGTTAATACTTAGATTATGTGTTTATCAATAAGACATCATTTAATATAAAGAAAAAAAAATGAAAGCAAAAAGAAAAAAATATATACTTTAAGTCATTTTTATTGATTTAAAAAATTGATTGCACCAAAACATCTTAATTTTAAAGGATATCATAGTAATTCCCATAAAATAAAATAAAATAGATGTGATAACATATAATGATGAAAAATATCGACTTTGAATCACTTTAATCGATAAGTAATGTTGTTAACGGTATTCAAGTGTGGTGTGCTACATGCTCAAAAAATGTTTTTTTTTTTAAATTATGTGACATAGAAGCTATATCAACATCAACTAAAAAATTTCAAAGCTATAAATAGTTTCAAAAGAGGTTCATTATGATAAATAGGTTTTAAAAAGTGATCTACCAATAGTCAAAAAGTTAAGAGAGAAAATTCTTTATATCAAGAACGCAACAATTTTTGAATCATAACCAGAAATTTGTTCGTCATTAGATTTGAATAATAGATTTGTAAGACATGATTCTTTGTTTTCATCAATTTGATCATCAAAAAGAAGGTATATTTTTAAAAATTTTCATCTACTTATTTATCATTCATAAATAATTATATTTAATTTACTTTAATTGATTGTAAAAATTGTTTGATGTATTCATTAAGCACTCTTATATATCTTTTGTTGATCATTCTCATAATTTTTACTTACATCGATAGATTTTTCACATTAAAATTTTTTATCTATTTTTTGCTCTATTATTCTAATAACTAAGTCATTGCTCTATTACTCTTTTATTAAATTGTTATTATGTTAGATTTTTTCCATCATACATTTACCTCAAATCGATTATTATTTTCATTTTATTTAGATAATTTTATCTTTAAATGTTTGTTTATTTATTTATTTGGAAAAGATTCTACCACGTTTAATTTTTTTCTTATTAACGGTTAACTCGTATACTCGCCGACTAATCACAAAACCTCCCTTTTCCCTTTTCATTTTTATTTAAATATAATAAACAGAGTTGTGAAGTGTCTCTTCACCACCGATAGTGATAGCTAAGAACATGAATGCGTCTTGTTTATTATCCTTCCTTCGTTGCTCTTTTATTTGATTTTCTTTATAAGACTCAGCTAAGCTAGCACTAGGAAAGAGAATCATAAAAACAAGTTTACTTCCAGCTTCTTTTTCCAGGAAACTTCCAGCAGCAGAGATACACCTATCTTTTATGTGTATCTGTTTTGTTAAAAGTTCTTACGATACATAATCAGTTTATTCCCGGTAACGGGTACAGTGAAAAAAAAGCAGAAGAAATAAGAAATCGGTAAGTACGAGTCTACAAGTGTGACTTTGATGAGTAAACTCTAGCTAGCGAGGAAATGGCTCAGTAATGGAAGCCTCGTTTACAGATGCTTGTACAGATTGAATATTTGATTCTTCTGATGTTCCTGCCTCTGAATCATTCTCTTCTGATTGAATCACTGATAAACTTCTACTATCAATAGAGAAAGCAGGTTGTGAAGGCAATGGAAGAGTAACAGAGTAGCTGTTAAGCATAAGTGCAACAGAAGCCATGGTTGGTCTATCAGCCACATTTTCCTGAACACAAAGCAACGCAATGTGGATACATCTCATCATTTCATTTCTCGAACCATCAGTGATTGCCGGATCAACAATGTTTGAGGCTGTTCCTTCCCTCCAGTTTTGCCTAGTCTGCAAGCAGTTGATCAATAAAAAGAAATGTTATTCAGTCATATAATTTACACTTGCAAAAGAAACTAAATGAACCAAAACTCTAAGGACAAAGAAAACAAGTAATGAAAAGAATAAGGTTTCTGATTACTTACAGAAGTTAGTAGATCCACTACATTCTCCCCTCTACGTGCGCAACTATTTTTCTGGCCACTTACAATCTCCAAAACCAGTACACCAAAACTAAAAACATCAGACTTCACCGAGAATTGTCCATACATAACATACTCTGGTGCCATGTAACCACTGCACACCAAGATGGACGACCTCATTAGCTCAATTACATACCCATATTAACATCTTTGTGAAGATATCCTTAAGGATATTTTGGCTTAACTGAAGACAGTGATTAGTATTTAGTATAGTATAACTTATTTAAGATAGAATATTCTGATACTTACTATGTTCCAACAATTCTATTAGTATTGCCTTGAGTTTGATCAATTTCGACTAATCTTGCCATACCAAAATCTGATACTTTAGGATGCATCACTGCATCTAATAGAATGTTGCTTGCTTTAAGATCACGATGAATAATTCTCAATCGTGAATCTTCGTGAAGGTAAAGAAGACCTCTAGTAATGCCTCTTATGATTTTGTACCGTTTTTCCCAATCCAACTGTGAACGTCTAATTTGATCTGCAAACCGAAGCCAAGATACAATATTCTAAACGAGTTAGAATGTATATAAATGAGAGAATAGATGTACATACAGTTCCATCAACCGAAAGTTTTGACTTACCAAATATGAAGAAATCAAGGCTTTTATTAGGAACAAATTCATATACCAGTAGCCTTTCTCTTCTTTCCAAACAGAATCCAAGTAGCTTAACCAAATTTCGGTGCTGAAGCTTGGCCACTAAGAGCACTTCATTCTTGAACTCCATGTCTCCTTGGAGGGAATTCCTAGACAACCTTTTTACTGCAACTTCCTGGCCATTGGAGAGCCGACCCTGAAAATTTAAATATGATGAATCTAATGTAAGGGTAACCGGCCTATCAGATATATACCACATTTTGTAGAATGGGGTGTACATTTTTATGTGATACTGTTATATTTACCTTGTAAACAGGGCCAAATCCTCCTTGTCCTAGCTTATTTGCATCAGAAAAGTTGTTGGTAGCAGCCACGATTGTGGCGAAGTCCAATTGTAATGTCTCCACTGATCCAATTTCATCATCATTTTCTGCTTCAACTGGGAATGAGTTGCAACCAATCACTCGATCAGTTCTCCAAATGGAATTCTAGTTCGTTTTTGGATTTTTCTTTTATTTATTTATTTATTTTTAATTACAATAGCTTATTTGTTTCATTAATGGAAATAATAATTTTTTGGGAACTTGACAGAACATATGAATGCAATTTATGATATTGTTTATTTGTTATTATTTGACAATCAGTCAAATAAATTGGGTCAGGGAATTATTTAGAATAAGCTGTTATTAAGCCGTTTTGCAAATTGTGCTTTATTATATGAATTATTAAAAGCTTGTTTTCAGTGACTTTTTCTTTCATTTTATTTCTTCCCGATTGTGGTTGAACCATGCAATCTTTTTCCAATAATGGTAGAAATTAAATTTCATATTCTATTCTTTTGCTAAATCTATAGTAACTCTAAGAAATTAGCCGATTATCCTAAAAAAAACCTAGTCATTTTGTCCTATAAATTTCATTACACACAGGGAAAGCCAAAATCGACAAATATCATACTAAAAGATGATGCCATGCTAGCTTACCTTCAATTTGTTTCCGTGACCTCATTCTTAAATAGATGCAGATAAGGATTACTAGTGTGACAAAGGCAATAATTGGCACAACTATTGCTATTACAGTTCGAGATGTGTTGCTTTTTCCTGCAAAAACAAAACTTCAATCTTATTAAGATATTTCTAGGATTGAGGATAATTAATCGCTCCCATTTCTCAACAAGTCAAATCACTAGTTCCTAGAAAAGGCTGTTGGAGAACTATAAAATGTCATATAAAGACAAAATGTATTCATAGAAAGTTGAGTACAATTGGTTTGAATTAGCTAAATACAACCCCTCTATGGTTATACACCATTAGCTTATATTTATTTAGCCGATGAGAGACTTTATAGTTCTGCAACAAAGTCTGTCAACAACAAGTGTATCAATTTTGTATAACGGTTATCCTTTCCTCCATCTGACATGTTTTTACCTTTAAATATCCAAGAAACTACTATAAAGTTCAATTATTTGCTCACTTTTTCATTAGCTTACATTTGAAGCAGGATCTGACATTTACCTTCTGTGGACAAGACATCTGTTGATGAAGGAGGAAGAGCAAGTGGTGGTGGTAATACAACGTTGGTAGAATCGTAGAAGGGGTATATCTCATATCTGAAGTTACAACTGGGTGTTATATCTCTACCACCTTTCTTGCCATCACAACAATGTGGAATTACTGTGATTGCCTCAAACAAACATTTACTGCATTCTTGTTCTGACAAGTCAGGTGTACACTGCACAAGACCATATATAGTTTGAAAGCCTGGTCCTGATACATTTGCTGCAGCAAACTTACGCTGAGAGTCCCCTATTGAAGCATTGCTTATGAGGCTATCTAACAAGTTCCTCAGTACTTGATTGAATTGATCAACATTGGTTGCATTACCAGGGTTCCACATAAAGAAACTAGGGGAGTCTTCCATGGTCTCAAATATTGAGCGGTTTGAGTAACGCAGCATGCAGTTATCATACCACCCAATGGCCTCTTTCTGATTTGGACAACGCTGTGTGAGAAGGACTCTCGAATCGTTTAGGCAACTACGGCAAGCATCTGGCTTAACATTTCCTCTGCACAGACCAATTGCGTTTACTCTGTCACTATCTTGGCCATAAGAAAAATTGTAGAAGCCCTAGTCGATGTTTGTGTTGGAAGAGAGGTTGGTCAAAAGGGTATTGAGGTTGTTCTGGTAGGTGCTGTTAGCAGTGTAATTACCTTTGTCATTCATACAGAAGTGGTATAAGAAACTTGGTTGGGCGTTGGATTGAGATATGGATATGAGTGTGACAAGGAAACAAAGCAATGAAGGCATTCGTGAAACCATGGGCATAGTTGGAGTAAGGTGCTAGTATGCTAGTACTACAGAGACATAATCAAGGCAAGACTGAAGGTAGTATATAACAGACCACATGACTAAATCTTAAACTATTCAACAAGTGGAAAAATAAACATTTGACTTTATTTGATATCAGTGGGACATAATTTTTATCAAATACACTCATATACACACAGCAGAAACAAGAGAAACGGAAGAGGAAATTTTTCACTCAACTTACATACACTAACAACGTACAACATATGGCCTTTTATAGGCAAATGTTACAACACACAAAATAATAAAATATTATATTTAAGAAACTTAACGTATGCAAATTTGAGATGATGCAGCCTTCGTGGAATTCAATTTGAACCATGCAGCAATTATAGAATTCCAAATTTCACTTTGAAACGGTGCAGCCAATTTTGACTTTCAAGTAACGTACTATTCATCAATTTAAGAGATTGTCGGTAGCCTACAATTTTGAATTCCAAGTTACTGTAGCTTACTGTAGCTTGATTTAGTTTTCTGACA